AACTGCTGCAAATGTGTTATCTTAACTTTCAGATATTAACCCTAGACCACGCTTCTTATTCATCTATAATAATCTGTAATAATAATCTATAATAATAAAAGTATAATATGCTAATTAGACTGGACATCCTTCCAGATGACCTTCTGGATGAAGCCAGGGCTGCGAGGGAAGCCCGGGTCCTGGGTACCTGCCAGTGGCCGGAGGGAAGCCCAGGTCCAGGGTGCCAGAGAGAAGCCAGTGCTGGCAGCCAGGGGAAGAAAGGCCTACTCTTGCTCGAATTTTGTGCATCGGGCCTCTAGTCTAAACTAATAAAAGGGAAACCACCAGGCTTGGGTTTGAATTGTGGCCCTGCCTCTGACCTTGTGACCTCTGGTGGGTGAATGATTGAACTTCTTTCAGACTCAGCCTCCTTGTCTGTAACTCAAGGTCATTACGACTAACTGAATGGTGGTGCTGGGAGTATAAAATAGAAGCATGTACATAATTGTCTAATACAATGTTGGGCATATAGCAAGCATTCAGTAGTGGAAGCTGTTAGTATTTTAATGTTTGTATGTTTTCATATATGATTATGTGAATATTAAACATTGCTTTTGCACACTTGCTATGAATGCTGCAATATCTTAGGGTTTTTGGTGGTTAAGAGTATGATTGTTATAATTTCTGATATCCAGTATAGGAGAGTGTATGGTTACATACCTATATATTCAGTACAGTTCTTTAGGATAATGAATTAATATCCATTTTGCAGCATTAGAAATTGATGTCCTGAAGTAAGGTGACTTAAGTGATCATCTGTTGCATTCAATATCATTTACATGTCTATGAATTAGATTACCTATTGCCAAAGCATTTACAAACTTTCCACTTGTATTTCTGGTTTATTTGGAAGAGATTGTGATAGAGTTGTATTTGAAGTGTAGGTGGATATCTGATGGGGAATACAATAGGAAGTACCTCATTCCAAAAGCTAAGAGTGCCCTCTCTACTAGATCTCACTTCCTATTCTCTTCTGGTTCCTATGGAATGTTTGGTGATTTGCTTACTTGACTGATGACATCAAATGACTAAAATTCCACTATTGGTCATAATTGTTTAACTGAAAGGGTTGTTATCTTTCAAATATGAACAAGTCTCTAGAAATGTTGAAATGTTTTAGAAAACACTTCAGAAATCTAAAGGTTGAGTTTTCCCTCTTAGATCTAAAACAAGAAAATTCTCCTGTATCTGTAAGTCTGTTTTTTGTTTTTGTTTTATTTGTTTCTTTATTTTTTAGATTCCACATATCGGTGAAATCATACAGTATTTGTCTTTCTCTGACTTATTTTACTTAACGAAATACCCTCTAGGTCTGCTCATGTAGCAAATAACAAGGTTTAAATTTTTTTCTATGGCTGAGGAATATTACATTGTGTATGCGTATATGCCTATATTGAATTGTATATATTTCAATATTATTAGAGTACAATAATATTCTAATATATATACAAATACATATATCCCCCCCTCCCCCCGCCCACACACACACATCGTTACCCATTCATCTATTGATGGACACTTGGGTTGCTTCCATATCTTGGCTATTGTAAATAATGTGGAGTGAATACAGGGGTGCATAAATATCTTCAAATTAGTATTTTCATTGAATAAACACCCAGAAGTTGAATTGTTGGATCATATAGTATAGTAGTTTATAGTTGTATAGTAGTTTTAATTTTTTTTGAGGAAACACATACTGTTTTCCATAGTGGTTGCATCAGTCTGTATTCCCACTAACAGTGTCAGAAGGTTTTATTTCTCTACATCCTCGCCAGCACTTGTTATTTTATTGTTGTTTTGAGAATAGCCATTTTTCACAGGTGTGAGATGCTATCTCATTGTGATTTTGATCTACATTTCCCCGATGATTAGTGATGTGGGGCATCTTTTCATGTGCCCATTGGCTATCTGCATGTCTTCTTTGGAGAAATGTCTGTTTAAGTTTTCTGCCCATTTTTTAATTGGTTGGTTGTTGTTTTTTGATACTAAGTTGTATAATTTCTTTATATAGTTCGGAAATGAACCCCTGATTGAACTTGCAAATATCTTCTCCCATTCAGTAGGTGCCTTGTGTTTTGTTGATGGTTTGCCTCCTGTGCAAAGGCTGTTTAGTTTGGTATAGTCTCATTTGTGCAGTTTTGCTTTTGTTGCTGTTGGCTGAGGAGACTGGTTGGTAAGACCGATAAAGAATTGCTTGCAGCCTATATTTTCTCTTAGAAGGTTTATGGTTTCAGGTCTTTAATCCATTTTGAGTTCTGTATGTGTTGTAAGATAATGGTCCAGTTTAATCTTTGCATGTAGCTGTTCAGTTTTTCTAACACCATTTGTTGAATAGACTGTCTTTTCCCCACAGTATATTTTTGCCTCCGTTGTCATAGATTAATTGACCAGATAGACATAGGTTTATCCCTGGGCTCTGTGTTCAATTCCATTGATCTATATGTTGGTTTCCATCCCAGTACCATACTGTTTTGATTACTATAGCATTGTAGTATAGTTTGAAATCAGGGATAGTGATACCTCCAGTTTTGCTCTTCTTTCTCAAGATTGCTATGGCTATTCAGGGTCTTTTATGCTTCCATAGAAATTTTTAGGAAACAAATTGGTAGTTACCAGAGAGGGAGGGGTTTGGGGGCAGTCAAAATAGGTGAAGGGGATGAAGAGGTACAAACTTTCAGGTATCAAATAAGTAAGCCATGGGGATGTAATGTACAGTACAGGTAATGTAGTGAATGCCATAATAACTCTGTACGGAAGAATATGCTAACTAGACTTATCGGGGGGATCATTTACTAATGTGTATAAATATCAAATCACTGGAATATACACCTGAAACAAATAGGATATTGTATGTCAATTATACGTCAATAAAAAAGAGGTTCCCGTCTTGCACCCCCTGGGTTGAAAATCTTTTTAACTGCTGTTTTTTAACTTATTACTTTACAGCCTTTATTACTTTACATCCCTTATTACTTGACAGTCTCATTCTTTCGACCTCTGCACCAGAGAAAACTCCAGCTATAGTAGCTGCTGCCATTTCCCTCAGTGTCAGCGATTTATCTTGAAGGTGTTGGTTCCTGTAGACCAAATTCACTTATGCTATGTTTACTTGCAATATTTGGGGGGACTCCAGGTAACTCAGAGTGCCATGTTATGCTTCTTATTCCACTTCTATCTGTAAATTTTGCTTTTACAGTGCAGTCAGTGAAGCCAGCGTGCACCGAGGAGCCACTTTGCTCCTTAGGAGGAATATATCTGACTTTTCTCCTCTGGCCATGCTGGACCCACCCTCAGCACTTTCCCAGTCCTCGCAAGGACACTGACCACCCTAGTTTGTTGCCCTGCAAAAGACTCCCTGAGCTCTCACGCCTCCACGTTTCACTTGCAGAGGGCTTCTCGTTAAAAGGAACTTCGGGCAGCGGTCTAAATGCTCCTATGATTAACCTAGGTTGGATAACGTCAATCAAGTTGATTTTCTTGAGATTGGAGAGCCATCCTTTTAGAATGAAATATTTTTTTCTTGGAGATTGTTAGTAATAGGATTTTATCTGTAATAGTTATATAAGAAGAAATGATCAAAGAGATAGTAAGTAATTAGTCTGATAAGAAAGCTGATTTTATGTCCTTGATGCTTCAATGACACATGCATTTATTTTTCTTAAAATAGATTTTAAAACTCTTAGCCTCATATAAATCTTCATTTAGAATTGTATCTTTAACTAGGGTTGGTTCAAACACAGGTCATACAATAAACATGCCCACATTATCTCCCTTGAAGAAACTCAGTGTAATGATTTACATGGTTTATCCACTCTTTTTAAAATATATATATAAACATTTTTATTGATATAAGAGAAAAAGGAAGAGGGAGAGAGAGATAGAAATATCAATGATGAAAGAGAATCATTGATCCACTGCCTCCTGCACTCCCCCTACTGAAGAGCAAGTCTGCAATCCAGGCATGTGCCCTGATTGGGATTCGAACTGTGACCTTCTGGTTCCTAGGTCAATGCTCAGCTACTGAGCCACATCGGCTGGGCCAGTTGTCCACTCTTTATTGAACACGTATTATGTTCTAGATATTGCCCATTCAATCCCTACAAAAACCCTAGAGATAGTTTTGATAATCCCCGCACTGTTCAAGAGAGGGAAGTTACTTTCAGACAGGTAGCATCTTATTAAAGACACATCCCTAATAAATAATAATACAAATACAGGTCTTTTTTGTTGTTGTTGTTGATTGCTCCTCATGTGCCAGGCAGTGTGTTAAATGCTTTCTGTCGCATTGAATGGAAACCTCACAGTACTTTCATGTTATTCTCAGTTTACAAATGAGGAAACCAATGCTTGTGATGTCATGTGACTTGCGACGGTGTCAGGGCAGATAAGGGAGGATCAGGCAAAACTTTTTGACTCCAGATCTCATCCTCCTAACCAGCAATATGCGATACTGCTCTCCCACCACGGTTGTGTCCAAAAGCTCTGAATTAGAACTGGGTCTCTTACTCGAAAGCTTATTTTGTGTGCTGTGATTTTGTCCTCTAGTTAGTGACCTTGCCCCCTCTATTACTCCTTAACATGGGCTTCAGAAACAGAACTCTAATTTATAACCTTGCATCTCTGAGAAACATGCCTTTGATTTATAGTTGTCGAGTAACCAATTCCGGGGTGTACCAAGGGTCACCTTAGGTATCAGGTGTGGTATGTGGCGTCCTTGATCCAGCTGTTAGCATGTCCTCAGACCTAATCCTCTCTAATAGGCAGTTAGAGGGCTTTCTTAGTTTCATTCGCAGGCAAAGGAGTTGACCATTAGACCTCACCTCCATACTGTTTGTGAACCAGATTTTTGGAAGCTACTCACCAATCATTTTGATAAACCTTGCTAGCAGCTACTATGCTTTATGACTGAATGGGGGATTGTTTTCCTGTAGTTTATGTGTGTATTTCAATCTTCTTTCTAGGTTGGAATTCTCCTTCATTATTCCACCCTTGCCACAGTGCTGTGGGTGGGAGTGACAGCTCGCAATATCTACAAGCAGGTCACGAGGAAAGCGAAAAGATGCCAGGATCCCGATGAACTGCCTCCGCCACCCAGACCCATGCTCAGGTACCGATACCTCCGTTTACTGAACAGTGTTAACCGTTACGTTTAGTGAAGCATCGTCATAACAACATTGCTGAGTGAAGTTTGGAAAATAGAAGAATGGACTTGGAGGCTGGGCTTCCTGAGCTGGAGTACTGACTGGGCCCCTTCCAGCCGGGAGTCCTCCGTGAAGTTCTCACCCTCTCGGGGCCTTTCTGGCTCATCTGTAAGGTGGGGTGGTTGCAAAGCAGAGCTGTTGTGCAGAAGAAATGAGCTCATGGGTAAATGGCAGCTGGTTTAATTTTCCTGGGGTCAGGGCACAGATTTTACTCCGCTCAGGTATGCATCAGTTTTATTATTCTCTGCAAAAGACAGAACAGTGTTGGAGTTATGCCCTTTTTACTCATTAGCATAAAAAAAGTTGTCAGTGGGTCATCGTGCTTGATAAGTAAAAATTGATCAATGTCTCTGAGATTGTTAAGTGCCGGGTTTGTATGTGACTGAGAGAAACCCTCCCGCCACGAGGAGCTTATAGTCTTTGAGGAGACAGGCATGGGAGGGATTGACTGGTGACTGTGAAGAACTGCTGTGGAGCCCTGACTCGTGTGCCCATGTTCTCAGTGGTTAGAGTGTTGGCCTAAAAACCGAAGGGGCGCTGGTTCGATTCCTGGTCAAGGACACGTACCTCAGTTGCGGGTTTGCTCCCCGGCCCTGGTCAGGGAGTGTGCAGGAGGTAACCAATCAACGTATCTCTCTCACATTGATGGTTCTTTCTCTCCCGCTCCCTCCCTGCCACTCTTGCTCAATGGAAAACTATATCCTCGGGTGAGGATTAACAGCAACAACAAAAAACCTGCCTTGGAGATGTATTTTCTGAAAGTGCAAACCAAGCAGCTGTGAGCGGGGGCAGGAGGGGCTATTATTAATGGTTAGACCACTGGCATGGACCTTCATGAGTGATTAGAGCAGAGGGTGGAGGTGGCACTTCAGATACAGGATTAGGTGGTGAGCCAAGGGACTTGAGGAATGCAGTGTAGCTACTGCCCCGGTGAATGGTGGAGAGGAGCAGGAGTTTAGGATGATGCTGGGCTTCAGGCCCCTGGGTGCCCTGGTGACATGTGGGCAGCACTGAGGATTTTACATGAGGGCAGCACCATGTATTGGCCTGGAATATGAATTGGAATGCCTGAGAATGAAGAAGTCCGCCGAGGGCATTAGGGGGTCCCCTGGGGGCTGATGGTGACATTAGTGACATGGGGAATAGGGAGAGGACACCTGTTCAAGAGACTCCAGGCAGCTTCTCTAGGGTTGATGACCTGGATTTGAGAGGTGTGTGAGGAGGAGGTGACAAAGATGGCTGCAAATGTCTACTTCAATGAACGAGGCTGCCAGCAAGTGGCACTTTCGTCAAGTGAGGAAGTCATGTAAGAGAGTAAATGGGGGAGGGTGTGGTGGGCGGGGTGGTAAGCGAGGGAAGGTGGCTCACCACCGCTTTCTCGTGGAACGTGACGATTGTGGAAGTCTGGTGCTCAGCAGGGAAGAGGAGCTGGACGTGCTGTGGGTGGGACGGGAGACATTTACCTGTGTGGTCCTGCAGTGGGACCCCCAGGGAGAAGTTAGCTAAGAAGAGAATGATTCCCAGGCCAGGCCGGTGTTTAATAGTCAGACCCTGGGAAATAAAAGGGTGAAGAATCATGTGTCATGGAAATGGACACTTGAAACCTATATAATCTTATTAATCAACGTCATCCCAATAAATATAATGAAAAAAGAAAATGTGAAACATAAAAGTATTCTGATGGGGGGGAGGGGGCCAGTGAGGCTCAGAGGTTGAGAGTCCAGTTCAATTCCCAGTCAGGGCACATGCCTGGGTTGCGGATTCGCTCCACAGTTGCGGGGTATGCAGGAGGCAGCAATCGATGTCTCTCTCATCATTGATGTTTCAATCTCTAAAAATTAAAAAAAGAAAGAATTGAAAAGAGCACCTAAGAGCATAGAAGATTCGGGAAGAGAGGCCCAGGACGATGAGGGCAGCAGCATGCCCAACCAGAGTCAGGTTAGAGAGTGAGGGCTTTAGCATCTCTGTCACTTGCATTACAAGAACTGAGCAAAGGTGTGTGGCTAAGAGACGGGGATCCTGTCCTCAAGCAGCTGTTGCCTCTGTAAGTAAAAGGTAGGTTAGCCTCCAAACTGATGTGATCCCTGAATGACCCAAAGGTACCTCTTTACTTTTAGACAGTGCAAGCTCCTCCTTCCCCATGACCTTGAGCCTGAGGAAGCCCCAGCAACCTGGCCACCGGAGGTTGGGCCGGAGGTGCCTGAGTCTCTCCTGGCCCCAGAGGTGGCAGTTTCAGTAGCATATACATGGGAACAGCCTCAAATAAGGGATAAAGGTGAAGCAAATAATGATGGTAGTTATTTCCAGGAGTTTGTCACTGACGGGAGAGAGAAAGAAGGTGGTAGGCCAAGGCGAGTTTTAGAAGAGAGGAGAAAACGTGAACGTAAATTTTTAGGCTGGAAGTATGAGGCAGTGGAGAAGATTTAAAGCTGCAAAATAAGGGTTAGTTGATAACAGGAAGTCCTGGCGGTGGGAGGGGGAAGGGCAGAACCTATGATTAATGTGGGAAATGACACCTCCTTCTCAGGGAAGAATTGATGGGAATTAGCACAGCAGGAAGGGAGAGGATCTCCTATGTTGGCCTCCCTCTAATGTGTGAAGCAGAAGACAGGGTGATGGTTTTATAGTGTAATTAGCTGTCTTTTTCAGCAACACTAATTAATATCATATTGAAGGGGTTTAGTACCTGTGAGCATGACCAGGAAACAGAGAAATGGGTCATGACTATTGCCTTTATCCAGCCAATTCAGTTTTGGGGCTGTGTCCAGGGAGTGGCCGATGCAGAATTAAGACTCTGTGCCCAGAGGGTACCCAGCCAGGGTGGAAAGTTGCCTATTTCCCTTTTCAGAGAGCTCAGGGAAGCTCGGGCCATAAAAAGAAGGTGTGCACTTAGGCTCAGCCACCACTGCCCCCCTCAGTTCTTAGTGCACTGTCATCTGTCTTGCCATCCTCAGCTAGTCTGAGGGAGGGGCCAGGAGGGGCCAGACAGGGCTGCTGGGATCCAGGGACCTCTCTAGCCTACAGTTGACTAGGAATAAGCACGCACAGCACTGGAACGTCCTGGAAATACAGGCTTAGCTGGACATTGATAAATTATTTAGCCCGGCCAGCATGGCTCAGTGGTCGGCCTATGAACCAGGAGGTCATGGTTCGATTCCAGGTCAGGGCACATGCCTGGGTTGTGGGCTTCATCCCCAGTGTGGGGCATGCAGGAGGCAGCAGCTCAATTATTTTCTCTCATCATTAATGTCTCTATCTCTTCCTTCCTCTCTGAAATCAATAAAAATATATTTTAAATAAATAATTTATTTGTCATTCTGTGTTTTGGCTGCACTATGTATGGCACAGTGAGATCTTCAAGTCCATTTTTTATTGGACTCACTTTCCAGTTCACCAACTGCATCTAAGACAAAACAACAACAACAACAACAACAACAAAAACACAGTTCCCCCTAAAAGAAAAAGTATTGACTAAAACCGTCCCTGCTATAGCTGTGTTACCATTTCTGTCCACAAGGTGGCAGAAAAAGACCAGCTTTCCTCCACTTGGAAACTTGGTGGACCACGTGCTTTGAAAAAAGGAAATCTAAACAAAAATTTTTTAAAAAACATTGTTGCTCACACAGCAGCCTCTGAAAGTTAACCTTCAGTTTACTGTGTAAGAGGATTCACAGTCCTTAAGGAATGGCTTGTGCCGTGATGGGATGTGTCCACCTTAACTAATGGGATGATGAGCTGTGACTTCTTTTATTCCTCCTCCCAGGTTTTACCTGATCGGGGGCGGCATCCCCGTCATCGTCTGTGGGATCACTGCGGCAGCAAACATCAAGAATTACGGCAGCCGGCCAAGTGCGCCCTAGTGAGTAGTTTGCGCTCTCTGTGCACCTGGCCTGATCCAGTTGTTTCACTAAAGTTTATTGCAATTTCGTAAACACTTTGCTGACATATGTAGTAGCATCTGAGCTGGCTCACCCTTTTCTCTCCTAGTTGCTGGATGGCGTGGGAACCGTCCTTGGGAGCCTTCTACGGGCCTGCCAGCTTCATCGCTTTCGTAAACTGTATGTACTTTCTCAGCATATTTATTCAGTTGAAAAGACACCCTGAGCGCAAGTACGAGCTGAAGGAGCCGGCCGAGGAGCAGCAGAGGTTGGCGGCCAACGAGAACGGCGAAGTGGCTCAGCAGGACTCCATGTCCTTGTCCCTGATTTCCACGTCGGCGCTGGAAAACGAGCACACGTTCCAGGCACAGCTGCTGGGGGCCGGCCTCACTCTGCTCCTCTACGTCGCCTTGTGGATGTTCGGGGCCCTGGCGGTCGCTCTGTACTACCCTTTGGACCTGGTGTTCAGCTTCTTTTTCGGAGCCACGTGTTTAAGCCTCAGTGCGTTCATCGTGGTGCACCACTGCGTCAACCGGGAGGACGTGCGGCTCGCGTGGATCATGACCTGCTGCCCAGGCCGGAGCTCCTACTCGGTGCAGGTCAACGTGCAGCCCCCCAACTCCAGTGGGACGAACGGGGAGGCCCCCAAGTGCACCAACAGCAGCGCCGAATCCTCGTGCACGAACAAGAGTGCGTCCAGCTTCAAAAACTCCTCCCAGGGCTGCAAACTCACCAACCTGCAGGCTGCTGCGGCCCAGTGCCACGCCAACGCGCTCCCCGTGAACGCCGCGCCGCAGCTGGACAACAGCCTGACGGAACACTCGATGGACAACGACATCAAGATGCACGTGGCGCCTTTGGAAGTGCAGTTTCGAACAAACGTGCACCCCAGCCGCCATCACAAAAACAGAAGTAAAGGGCACCGGGCGAGCCGGCTGACCGTCCTCCGAGAATACGCCTACGACGTCCCCACGAGCGTGGAGGGCAGCGTGCAGAACGGCTTGCCCAAGAGTCGGCCGGCCAACAGCGAGGGCCACTCGAGGAGTCGCAGGGCTTACCTCGCCTACAGAGAGAGACAGTACAACCCACCCCAGCAAGACAGCAGCGACGCTGCCAGCACGCTCCCCAAAAGCAGCCGGAATGCGGACAAGACCGTGTCGAGTAGCAGTAAGAAAGAGGCCTTAAGGAAGCCAACTGCAGTTGAACTTGAAAGTCAGCAGAAGTCTTACGGCCTCAACTTGGCCACGCAGAATGGACCCATCAAAAGCAACGGGCAGGAGGGGCCCTCGCCGGGTGCGGACAGCACGGGCAATGTGAGGACTGGGCTATGGAAACACGAAACGACTGTGTAGCGGTGGTGGGCCTCCTGGGCAGAGAGAGAGCCGTGCAAACCCTGAGAGTCACATTCCTTTAAGCTCTGGACACGGGAAAACAAACTGTTTACAGCCACCTTAGGGATCCAAAAGAATTTTGAATAAACTTCAAAGTTTTGGATTTTAGTTATTTTATACCCCCCCAGTCGTTGCTTTTTTATGAATTAAAAAAAAAAAAAGAAAAGAAAGGAAGAAAACCTCAAAAGCATTGTTTTAGATGTCAGACTACGAGCAGGACATTTGGGTCTGAAATGTAATTTCTTGAAATCTGTAATAACGACTTAACATTTCAGATGTGTATTTAATACAATAAATAGGTGTTGGTCATTGTGTCAATCGTACATTTTTATATTTTACAATAGAAGCATCGAATTCTTTTTTAATGATGTTTTTACACATTGGGATAGTTTAATGAGATATATACACAGGTTGGTTAGCAGATGTTTACATGATTAGCTCCACTGATTATGGCATATGAATCAAAGGGCTCTTGGACTGATGTTTTATAAATATTATTTTGAATGCTTCAAGTGTTTTATAAGCTCACAGAATGTTTCTAAAAAGGTCTTTCTAAATTTCATTACTTTTGCCATATCAATTGGATCCTTTTAATATTATTACCACTCTTGTGGCTTTTCCACGGTTTATTTTTGGGTTTAAGTTTCTTATTCAGTCTTTTTTTCCTTTTCTCAGCATATGATTTTTGAATGTAAATGAAGAGCTACCATACAAGGTTCCCATTCACTTATTCTGGATTCTTCAATTCTTTAATATTTTGTTCTTAAAGAGAGGAAGTTCCTTGGGTTCATGCTAACGTACTGATTTTTAAATTCCATTGCAAAGATAAAAGCAGGTCTCATCCAAAAGTTAACATTGATCATCAGTGCAGGATAGTCCTTGTCCATCTGCAGTCCAGTCTCACTGCGCTCCATTTCTGGAACTCTCCGAAAAGGTGGGTGGGGTCTGCCCTGACTCCTTTGTGCATCCCGTCCTTCTGATATGCCTGAAAAGACTGGACAGCTTAGATCTGTTGGCTTTTTAAAATTTATTTATTGGGGTGACATTGGTTAATAAAATCATATAGGTTTCAACTGTAAGATTCTATAATACAACATGTGTAGTACATTGCATGTAGATCTGTTATTGCCAGCAGTCTGCAGGTTTAAATCAGATCAGATTCAAAAATTTACATTCAAGAAATGCTAAGAGTCAAGCTTACCTTGATAAACCTCGAAATCTGATTTACTGCTTATTTTCCCAGAGTAATTCTCACAGACACCAGGAGATCACCCATTAGAGTATAAACGTTCTTTTCATTAGGTTACTGCATTAGGAATAAATCGTTGTGCTTTGCAATAAGAAAACTGGTAGTTCTAGTTAAGGCTTTCATCAGGTGTTAGTTTTAGAGACATTCTTTTTGGTGGGGGAAGCAAGGCGACCAGATGGATGGATGTGCCCCTTGTACTCTGGACCACTGTCTGGCCAGGAGCTCCTGGTAAGTCATGCATATGTGCAGGATGATGTTTACTAATGACAAGGAAAAACTAATTGGAAGTGGAGTGTATAGTTATTTTTGTTGCTATTTAATTTTGCTCTGTTATTTTGCAATGCATCCTCCCAATGTTTAACCTGTTTCTTGACCCATAGGTCAATACCTCATAGGGAAAGAACATCTTCCTATTTTTTTTTCCTACCTCCCCACAGGAAGTAATAAATTTCCCTTTCTGAAAATGTTCCCCCAGAATTTGAACTAAGCAGTCTCTTTTAGTCATTTGATTGGTAATTTAAAGACTCGGGATTCTTAGGCCTGTCATGTATTATGCCATGTAACTCTACAGCCAGAGAGAAGGATGTAGAAAACCAGAGGGAGTGGAGACAAGAAACAGTGCTAAATGCTTTGAGTGCCTGGGTTTAGAAATTTCTGAAGTCTTCTTACATTTTCTACCTGTGAATTCTGTGACATATATTCTATCATTGAATCTCCCCCAATCACCCAATTTTTATTTTTTTATTTTCTGGTGAAAGCTGCTGTTTTCTGTTACTTATATCCCAAGAATTCAAATAAATATGCCAGTAGAGCCTTCGTCTCTTTTTTTTTTTTGCATGTTCTCAAAGATTAGACATCTCTGTTTTGATGGAAGAAATACTTCAGCTCTGACAAGTAAATGCTATTGTTCCATTTTTGGATAAACATTCTAATTCATTCTCATGATTTGAGTGAAAATATCTGATAATGTAAATATAATTTTGGCACCATTATTTTGTTGGTTTTATAAGTGATTTTAACCATCGTACTACTAGAGAGAGATTTTAAAAAGAAAAAGGAATTTTGGGGGGCATTAAATAGTATACCAACATCACATGCCATATTTAATATTTTGCAGGTGAGGTTTGCTCTTGAGCCAAAATTACTCTTTTTCATATGAACAGAAGATTGGTTGAGTGGTAGTTATTCAAGAAGCAACAGTATACCATAACTGACTGAAAAGCTTTTCAGAAGCAAAAATATTCTTAAAATACTTTCATATTCCATTGAATACTATCCATTTATATTCATTTGAATAGTGAAATTCTTTTTGACTCATCAAATACATTTTTTCTGTCACAAAATAGAAGACATATTTAAGAAGTTAATAATTCATGAAGATCTATTTATAATTTCATATTTATGCTTTAAGGAAATAGTTATAGACAAGGTGTTAGAATGGAACTCCCCTGCCTCAACTTCAACTAAGGTGCCAATTCTATGAATATGAGGATACCAAACAGAACGAAAGCATCAGATGCCAATTTTATAAAATAAACATAGAGGAACCTGTTCCACAACCTTATGTCCACCTGACATGCTCAGGATCCAAGAAGAGGTCAGACGGACTTGTGAAGGAGCCTGGAGAAGAGAGGCCTTAGGAGGAGCTGTGCCATCCTTGGGAAAGGACTGGAATTCGTTTCCTTTTCCTCCATCATGGTGGCAGGGATGCTCCTAAGGAGACTGGGGGTCCAATTCACCCTTACCCTCAAGACATGTAGGAAAAGACAGGATGTAATAGATAAAGCAGTGGTTCTCCAAAGATGTCTGCTTCATAACCCCTGGAGCCAGTGAATATGTTACCTCACATAGCAAACAGGACTTTGCAAATGTGATTAAGTTAAGGATCTTGAGAGGAGGAGGTTATCGTGGATAAACAGGTGGACCCAATGAAATCACACGGATCTTTTTGAAAGGGAAGCAGGAGGGTCAGAATCAGAGATGTGGTGGAAGCAGAGGTCAGAGCCGTATGCAGAATCTTCCTCTAGACTCTGGAAAAGGCAAGAACGGATTCTCCCTGTTTCTTCAGAGCCTTCCAAAGTAACACAGCCTGAGCAAAAACTCAATTTTAACCCAGTGAAAGATTTTGGACTTCTGACCTCTATTACTATAAAACAGTAAGTGTATGATTATTTGTTGTAATTAACTAATATAGGCTGATGCTTTGGTGACAAAGCTCAGATCTGTTGCTGTGATGTAGGTTGACCTACATCACAGAATATGGGAAGAGGGATGGATGAGTATTTTCCACGGACCAGATAAGGATCTCACAGGAGAGGGCTGGCAAGAGTTTTTTGTGAGGCCTATTCAACAGTGGCCTCTGAGGAGCAAGGAGGTCTCACCAGGAAGAGTCTAGAGCAGGGGTGGGCAAACTTTTTGACTCGAGGGCCACAATGGGTTCTTAAACTGGACCGGAGGGCCGGAACAAAAGCATGGATGGAGTGTTTGTGTGAACTAATATAAATTCAAAGTAAACATCATTACATAAAAGGGTACGGTCTTTTTTTTTTTTTAGTTTTATTCATTTCAAATGGGCCGGATCCGGCCCGCAGGCCATAGTTTGCCCACGGCTGGTCTAGAGGTTGGCCATTGACTGCCTGTTGTTAAGGGTGAGCATCCATCTATGTCAAGCAAACTGCAGCAGAGTAGGACCCAGAGAGCTCAAGACCAACGTATGACAGTTCCAATTCAAGGAAAACATTCCTTGTTTTTTTCTCCAACTTGTCCATTTGGATAGAACTTGTCCTTCAGGTAGATGAGGGAAACAAGATGCAGAAATGGAGAGCTGACCATCACCACTTTCCTATTTCAGGCTTTGAAGTATAGTTGTTCTGGGAAGAGAGTAGAAGATTGGACATTAAAGCAAGTTTACAGCTTTATGATCTTGAACTGGAATTTCTAATTAAGACTTCTTAATGGTGTAAAGGGACCAGAGAGCCTTCCAGAATTTTCTTCTTGGGAGTACTTCTGTCTCTCACCGAATAAAGTATAAACAGACAATAGGGACAAAATACAGTTGCATCTTTTAAATTTTATGATCGTTTTCAAGTGTAAAACTTGAGAAATTATAGTATGGATTCCCCCTCTTATGGACTGAATTGGGTTGTTCCCCCACCCTAAATTCATATGTGAAGCCATGATCCCCAATGTCACTGTGTATTTGGGATTAGAGCTTGTCAGAGGTGATTCAGGTTATATGAGTTTTTAAGGTTGAAGTCTTAATGCCTTAGGATTGTTGGCCTCATAAAGGGAGGAAGAGAGAAATCTTTCTCTACAGGCACACACCAAGGAAGGCCATGTAAGGACACAGTCAGCAAGTAGCCATCTGCAAGCCAGGAAGAGAGCTCTCACCAGAAATCTGCCATGCTGGCACCTGATCTCAGACTTCCGGCCTTCAGAATTGTGAGAAAATAAGTATCTGTTATTTAAGCCACCCACGCTGGTGTTTTGTTATGGCGGCCTTAGCAGATGAATACACCCTCTATCCATACACCATATTCAATAATTACCAACATTATGTCATGCTTCATTTATTCCTATTGTCTTCCTTTCTTTCATCCTCCTTTTCCATAATGACTACTTCATATCAAACTTAGACATCATGTGATTTTTACTTCTAAATATATCTACATATATCCCTCAAGAACAAAGATGATGCATCTTTTAAAACCTAACCTGATGCATACATCATTGCTATTCATTACGGTCTCCCAAAACCTGCTGTGTATACTGGAAATTGAAGTGAATTATGGGCACCTTATTTGCTTTCACCACTGAAATGAGAACAGTAATAATGTGTATCAGTTAGCTACTACTGTGTAGTAAACCACTCCAAAATTCAGCATAACACAAGCATTATTTCTCACAATCTGGGTTGGGTGGACATTTCTTTTGGTCTGAGACAAGTTGTCCTATCTCTGTGGTCCACTGGCAGCTTGGTTGTGGCTGGATGGTACAGGAGGACCCCAGTCAAAATGACCTCTTAGCCCCATGTGCTCTTCCATCAATAGACTAGATCTGGATTCTTCACATAGT